TTTTATTTCCCGAGCGTAAGTCAATCGAGTCCATCGACCGAATTGCCACTTTCATATTTTCTCGACGTGTCATGACCTCTAGAGTACACATAAAGTGGTTTCCCGTTTCCGTCTATCTGTCCGTCTGTGTGTCTGTTTGTCTGGTGTCTGTATCCATTTTTATTAGACACGTAATTTCCGAAACTATTGGACCGATTCTTGTCACATTTTGTATGTATATTAGGAATACCATGTAGATGGTTAAATGCTAACTAAAATCTGGCTAATCATCGTTATCTCCAAAATAGAAGGTTTTCAAATTTCATAAATAAGATACGCCTGCACTATATATTTTCACCCTAGACATCGAGAATTTTTGGAAAAAAATCAAAACTGAATAACAATATTTTGCAACTTCGAAACTGCAAAACCAATTACTCAGAAATCTTGTAAATATTTTAAGGTGATCGTAATCATGGTAAATGGTTAAGCACAATTTCGTCGTTTATCCCCTCCCAAAAAAACTGATGACGTCATCTCAAAATTTTGCCGAATAAATCTTATTCAAAATGTGCAAAATATCATAAGTCCATACTCCGAGTTGACTTTTCACCCGAAACGTTCAGGTTTTTGGGAAAAAATCAAAATTGTAAAACAATACCCTGCTCCTGAAGATGCCACTTACGAAAGTGTGCGAAACGTTGAACCCAAAATCTCAATTTACACGGTTCCAACCGGGAAAACGATCATGTATTGATTCCGATCGTGGAAGCCTCCGAAATTATTATAAAACAACATTTTGAAATTTAATTTTGAATCTGCCAAACTGAATGCTTTGAAATCTTGCACATGTTTTAAATTTATGGTAAGCATAATAATTTTTTAATCAAAGTATATTCGCTTGTCCCTTCCAAAAAATTGATGATGTTATCTCAAAATTTTGCTATTTAAAATTGGCAAAATATGATGAGTATATACTTGCGATTTATCACTGCATTCATATTTTTTAGATTTCTTAAACAGGGTGACTCGAAAAAATTAATGACTGAGTTGTTAAAAAATAAACATCCAATCAGATTTAGGAATTTAACTCGTTACTATGGAAATTAGCTATTTAACACCTTTTAAATTTAACAAGATTTTACTTTAATAGGGGCAATATCAGTCTTCATCACAGCAAGTGCTAGAACCGCCCACCCGCCCTCTATTTATTAGAGGATATGTCCTTTGGAAAATAAGACTTATTTGAGCAAGTACTAAGAAGTACCCTCTGAGAAAATAAAGGACGGGTGGGCGGGGCTAGTCCTTGCTAAAATAAGTTTTATTCTGGCAAATAACCTATCATTTGAAACAATAGCGGGCGGGTGGGCGGGGCTAGTACCTGGTAAGATACGACTTATTTCGGCAAATGAGATACCCTCTGAGAAAATAGGGGGCGGGTGGGCGGGCCTAGTACTTGTTAAGATAAAACTGATTTTGCCCCTATTAATTTTGTAAAAGCTTGTGAAATTTGAAGGTGTTAAATTGCAAATTTCCATAGTAACGAGTTAAATTCCTAAATCTACCCGAAATGTGCATAATAGCATGAGTTTTTACTTGTGAGTTATCATTGCATTAATATTTTTTAGATTTGCTTATACAGGTGACTGAAAAAATTCCATGAATGAGTCAATTTATTTTATTGATTAAATCAGGAACCGCTCACTTCGTTTTCCCGAAAATTTGGGAACACATACTGTTATCATTAGTATTACATTGCACCTATCCAAAGTGATAGATGTATCTTTACAAAAATGTTGATGACGTCATCACAGAATTTTGTTGGGAAAACTCATTTGAAACGTACGCCGGACATGCTTCTTTATATTTACTTTAAAATTACATATACATTTTTTTTAACATATAAGAGTCATTAAAAGATAAAATTCGCAAAATCAAATCTTATAATTTTTCGAAAAATCTGGATTGATTTTTACCTTTGACCAATTTTTGAGATGTTTTTCCATTCTTTCATTTTTCAATTTTTCCATTTTTCAAAGTTTCGGTTCCATAATTTTTCGTTTTTGCAACTTTAAGATCCGTTTTATGGAAAGCGAATTAAAAGTTAATCGCGATTAATTTTAATCGAGGTTCGTTGCTATGCAACGTGCATGTTTTAACCAATTCCGGGCTCATATTCTACATTTTAATCCTATGTTAAATTAATCGAGGATTCAATACTTAATTCGCTTTCCATAAGCTGACCCTAATTTTGTCAATTTTTCAATTTCACGCTTCCAAATTTTTCAGTTTATCGTTCTTTGAATTTTTCGTTTTGAAATTTTTCAATTTTTTGTTTTCAATTTTCAAGTTCTTTATTTTTATTTTTCATCTTCCCGATTTTTTAATTTTGATTTTCTTGATTTTATTCACAATTTTTCGTTTCTTTTCCTTTATTTTTTCAATGTTTCTTCGATTTTCCAATTTTTCGTTCCTTTATTTCAAATTTTTCATTTTTTAATTCTTCGATTTTCCAATTTTCAAAGTTTTCAATTGTTCAATTTTTGGATTTCTCAATTATCCGATTTTCCGATTTTTTAATTTCCAGTATTTCGAATTTACAATATTTTTTATCATACCTGTAGCAATCACGCTTTTTAAAAATGTAAAACCTTCTCGGGAGCGCCAGAAGGTTTTTTAATAATTTGAAAATTTTTTTCATAAACTATAATTAATTAATAGACCAAAAGTGTTGGAACATAATATTTTGTATTTGAAAAAACGGCCTAAAAATCCACCAAAAATTCTGAGAAACATGGACCTCAAGATTTTCGAAATATTCTGTTTCAAATAAACTTTTTAAAATATCTTTACAGCCGAAAATAACGTCTCCAATTTGAAATCATCAAAAAAAAAATTCATATTGAAAAATCTATATTTGCTTTAAAAAATTTACCAATATGATAAAGTTTTTAAGTCTTTAATTGTGAAAAGAAAACTACGTACAGTAAGAAAAACACGACAAAATGCAAGTCCCGCCCACCCACCCTATCTCAACTGTGATGATTTTTTTCTTTTCATAACAAGAAACTGAAAACAAGTTTAAAATGGTAAAATTTTGTGGAGAAATACGGATTTTGCAATTAAGCTCCGCCCTCTGGCTCACGAATAAAAAAATTCATCACAATTGAGGTGGGGTGGGCGGGCGGGGCTTATCTTTTTATTTTCGTTTCTGTCTTAATAGTCTTACGAATGAAAAATTCACGCAGGTGGGTGGGGTTTAATCTTTAATAGATAGAGTTTTCTTTCAACAATAGCATACTTAACATGTTTTCAGTTTCTTGTTGGAAAAAAAAACTTCGTAGATTAAGAAGAAATGGACAAAATATAAGCCTCGCCCACCCACCCTTTCTCAATTGTGATGAATTTTTTATTCATCGTTAGCTGAAGGGTGGAGCTTAGCTGCAAAACGTCGTTTCTCTACAAAAAAATGTTTTTAAAAGGGTAGAATTTTCTGGAGAAATTTTGATGTTACAATTAAACTCCACCCCTTGGCCTGATTGGGAATGAAAAACTCATCACAATTGAGATCGGGGCGGGTGGGTGGGGCTTAATCTTTGTTTTTTCTTTATGTACATAGTTTTCTTTCGACAATTTGCTCAGTTTGAAAAATTGAAAAATGTAAAAATTCAAAATTCAAAACTCGTGAAATTTCAAACCCGAAAACTGCAAAATCTAAAAATTGAAACATTCGAAAGTTGGAAAATCGGAAAACTGAAAAATTAAAAAATGAAAACTCGAAGAGATATCGCAGAATTGTTAAAAGAAAGACAAAAAATTGAAAAATTGCAACCGGAAAAATTGACGAAACGAAAAATTGATAAAAAGTGAAATTGAAAAAACAAAAAATTATAAAATCGGAACACTGAAAAATGGAAAAATTGTAAAAATAAAGAAAATAAAAAACTAAAACAAAAAATTGCAAATGGAAAAATTAAAAATTGAAAACTCCAGAAACTCAATTCGAAAAATTGAAAAAATGAAAGATTTTTTTAGACATTTCATGGCATTTCCTCTAAAGTTACTTCATTTGGACTTTAAGAATCACTACATAATATTTTATTTCTTTATTAAGAAGTTGTTCTGAAATGCTTTTATTGTTCTTCTAAGTTAGCGAAATTAAATTGATTATTTTTGAAAAATATCGATGTACTTACTCACCTTGCGTTAAAATATGTTAATAATGTTTAATAAAGAACTCCTGCAATGTGTTCAACTCACTTTAGAGAGGTTCCAAACCAAAGGAGAAGATAAAAAAGTCACGATGATTCAGTACTTTTCACATGATAATATTATTTCATCGTTAATCACAAAATTACGCATAATTTCAAGTTGTAAACCTTTTTTTTTATTTATACATATTTAAGTTGTAAAAAAATCCACTGGTTATCGTGCACAGCTTATTTTATTAATTTCAATACATCTTCATTAAAACCATTAATAAATAACGCGCTAATTTGACTTAATAAAATTAAATTCTCACTTTTTACGTGAAACCAGCTGGAGCCTGAAATATTAATTCCAATTTAAAAAATTAAATACACCAACCCTGCCTAAACAGAGGGTCTTTTATCCCCCACAGCGTTGCTAATTATAATTCAAGCCCATTAAAATTTCAACAGGCTTTTTCTATTAAGCCGGCGAACTCCTGGTTGGTTTCTTAGACTGTTCGCAACTTGGGAATCCCTCAAATAATGATTTTATGTCGTTCTTGTTACGTAAACAAAAGAAAATCAATTTGGGCCATCCCCATAGAAATTATTTAAGACATAGACCATACTTTATTAGAAAACACGCAATCACGTTTGTGTATTGTATTAGGGTGAACAAAAATAAAATCTTTTGACGAGACGTCATTAATTATTCACCTTTCGTTCGAGAAAAGCGATCGCACGGTATAAACAAACAAGTCATTAATGCCGCCATAAAATTAGCATCTTAATCACAGGCGTTCCCCTCGGACTAATAAAATTTCCGCTCAGTCGCAGATTTTGGAGCGAGTCCAATCAGACCGCGTGACAGTAACAAAACCCGAGGAGGATCGCCGAAGACGAACAATCATAGTGGAAAAGAAAAATGGCTCGTATGGATTCACCTTGCAAAGCTACGGCATCCATTACAAGAAGGAGCAGGAAATCGAGATGATAACTTATGTGGATTACGTGGACTACGACGGCCCGGCCTACAGGGCCGGGATGAGAGAAGGCGACGTAATCTTGTCCATCAACGGGACCGATATGGAAAAAGCCGACCACAAAACGCTAGTGAATTTCATCAAGAATTGCGACACTAGGATGAGGATGGTCGTGTTGTTCGAGGACTGCGTACGCAAGGTAAAAACACAATTTGTATAGTTGTTCAGTAACGACTTCTTGTCTAGGTGGAGCTCCATATGCGCTACATCCAGCTACAGCGCGTCCTCCAAAGCAAGATGACCGAACTGGAGAAGTTGTGCATTCGCGAAAGACAGCTGCTGGAAGGTAAATGGAAAACGCACAGTCTGCCCGCTCGAAAAAAGGCCTCGCAGAACACTAATGGCGACCCCCCAACCCCCACACAAGCTGCCTATTCCTACTGTAGACCGACGGTCTCTACAGAAGACGTAGCCAAAGTTCAGCAGAAACAACAGAATCCGCCGCTGATTTTCGCTTACCAGTACTTAGACCCCCATTACAAGTACATGCTGCAGCCTTCTGCCAGTAGTAGCGGAGAGTATTTGCTAACTTTCGAGCCCTCGCGTTATAGAGGAGAGCAACACCACTTTATTGTCAAAACACCATGCGATGCGCCTCAGAAGCAGAACAGGGGCAACCAGACTAACGGAAATGGGGTAGAAAAGCCTAAGAAGGTACTGTACATATAGAATTATTGTATTCTCGATTTAAGATATTATAGTTTCTGTTATGTTGAATGGCTTTTCTTTCTTTTTTTTTGCTCCTGAACGCACATCGGGGTTTGAGAACTGCGGCTACGATTGAAACTGTTTCCTAGAATTTGTTACTAGCGTGTTTATTTTATCCAACACTTCTTAATAAAAGTGCTAAGTATGATGATCTTGAAGTATAAGAGCGTCACTGATGGCTGTATTGCTGGAATCCTCTGTAGTGAACCAACTTAATTGAATGAAACAATATAATAATAATAGGGACTCTTCCCCTTCTTTTCCTGTCTTCTGAACTCAAATTCCACGTCGCATTTCTTTTTTGTTTTGTGCGCTTTTTTGTTCACATTGTACATTTATTTTTCTTCCACGTTTTCGCCATCCTGATTTTTATGCTTTTTCTTTGTCCATTGCCAAATTTTTCTAGATACATTTGTTAGTTACAGAAACGCCTGCTTTTTGGAGAAGGACGCGATTGGTGTCAGTTTTCGTGTTTTGGAGACGGAAGTTTCGACAAAATCGTTCAGAAACTAAGAAAATTTTGCTTTTGGCAAGGTTTCTCATAATTTCTAGCGATTCCAGTACCCTAAGAGCCGAGAAATGTCGCATTCAAGCATTCAGCTTGAAAGGAATGTTTTGTCAAAATTTATAAAATTCGAACTACTTTGAAGCTCATTCTGGGCTTTTCGAATTGACAAATGGACATCTGTTTTTGCGAAAATAAAGCGATTGGTGTCAGTTTTCTTGTTATAGCGGCTGTCTACACCTGTATGGTTAATTACGACGTTCTTGATTCGATCTGGCGCAGTTCAGGTTATTTGACATTTGATTAACAAAAGTTGAGGCCAAAAAATGATCTAATCTTTGTTTGATGGAACTATCTTCTTGGAAACTTAAACTTGTATGTATTCCTTCAGTACAGTGGACGATTTTCACCCATCGTAGCGTTTCTATGTTATAATATTAATTTTGGTCATTTGCTAAAGAACGTTGTAAACTGTGTCCAGTGTACGATTGAGTTTCTAGTGAGTAGGTTCAAGAAAGAAGCAACTAGGTAATTGAAATATCTGAAATGAAGTAAAATTTCCGCCCCCAAGATCTTTCAACCTACTTCAAAAACCAAGGGTCCCCGAGATTCTTTCAAACTACTTCAAAAATCTTCAAGATTCGTTAAAACTACTTCAAAACAAAACACAAGAGGTCCCCTAGATTTTTTCAAACTGCTTCAAAATTAAAACAAAAGGGATCCTCGAGATTCTTTTAAACTACTTCAAAAACAACACAAGACGTCCCCTAGATTCTTTCAAATTACTTCAAAAATTAAACAAAAGGGATCTCCGAGATCTTTCAACCTACTTCAAAAACCAAGGGTCCCCGAGATTCTTTCAAACGACTTCAAAATTAAAACAAAAGAAGTGCTCGAGATTCTTTCAAACTACTTCGAAAACAAAACATAAAGGTTCCTCAGATTCTTTCAAATTACCTACTTCAAACACAATACACAGAAAGATTCTTAAGACTTTTTCAAATTACTTCTCTCTCTCATATATATTTTGAATTTGTCTCTTTAAAATGTACGTTTGAAAAAGTAGTAAATACATTTTAAACCGTTATTAAGAAGTGTTGGATAAAGTTTTGTATGAAACACGTACATTAATTATACAGGACTTTCATAAATGATTTATACATCCAAGCGGTCATTGATTTGTTCCGCCTTTTTCGCACTGTGCACCCATTTAACTTGTTTTGTGTTTAACTGGTTGCATAATTTCAAACATGTTGACGTTGCCATTGATAGTAACTTTGATGTTCAACTTTTGCCATATTTAAAGGGGTTGTAGAAGAAAAGTGGTGGATTTAAGTTGATTACTACAAAAATTTACCATTTTAGGCATGTTTTAAGTTTCTTGTTGTCGAAATAAGTCTACACATATTAAGAAAGAGAGGCAAAATCTAGGCCCGCCCACCCGCCCTATCTCAATTGTAATGAATTTTTTTATTCGTCGTCAGTCAAGGGGGCGAAGCTTAACTGCAAAATCCTTACTTCTATACGAGAAATTAAAAACATGTTTTTGAGTATCGTGTTTAAAGAATACAATGTATATTAAGAAAAAATTAAAGTCAAAGATTAAGTTTTTATTCGTTGCCAGACCTAGGGGCGGAGCCTAATTACAAAATCCATATTTCCCTATAAAAAAAATACCATTTTAAACATGTTTTAAGTTTCTTGTTGTGCAAAGATGACCAAACATGTTAAGAAAAAAAAGGCAAAATGTAGCCCCGCCCACCCGCCCTATCGCAATTGTAATGATTTTTTTTATTCGTCGTGCGCCAAGGGGGTGAAGCTTAACTGCAAAATCCTTATTTCTATACGGGAAATTAAAAACAGGTTTTTGAGTATCGTGTTGTTTAAAGAATACTACGTATATTAAGAAAAAATTATTGCCAACGATTAATGAAGTTTTTATTCGTTGCCAGACCTAGGGGCGGAGCCTAATTACAAAATCCATATTTCCTTACAAAAAATCACCATTCTAAACGTGTTTTAAATTTCTAAGAAAAAAACATCATCACAATTGAGATGGGGTGGGTGGGCGGTGTTTATATTTCGCCTTTTTTCCTAATATATCTAGTATTCTTTGAACAACACAATATTCAAAAAAGTGTTTTTAATTTCTTGTAAATAAATAAGTATTTTGCAGTTAAACTTTACCACCTTGATTCGTGGTGAATAAAAAAACTCATTCCAGTTGAGATAGGGCGGGTGGGCGGGCTTACATTTTGCCTTTTTGTTTTAATATGTGTAAACTTCATTTCACAATATGGAGCTTAAAACATATTTAAAATGGAAAATTTGTATAAGGAAATATCGATTGTGCAATTAGGCTCCGCCTCATAATTGCAAAATCCATTTCCTTGAAAAAATGTACCATTTTAACCAGATTTTAAGTTTCTTGTTGTGAAAAGATGGCTATGTATATAACAAAAGCTAAAATATAAGCCCCGCCCACCCGCCCTCTCTCAATTGTGATGATTTTTTTATTCATCGCTAGCCAAGGGGGCGAAATTGAACTGCAAACCTTATTTCTGTAGAAGAAATTAAAAACATGTTTTTGGGTATTGTGTTGTTCAAAGAATACTATGTATATTAAGAAAAAATTAAAGCCAAAGACTAAGCCCCACCCATCCCTGCCCTGATCTAAATACGTTGTAATGAAGTTTTCATTCGTTCCCTAGAAAAAAATTACCATTTTAAACGTGTTTTAAATTTCTAACAATAAAAAAAATCATTACAATTGAGATGGGGTGGGTGGGCGGGGTTTTATATTGTGACTTTTTTTCTTAATTTCCAGTTTTCTTTGAACAACACGATATTCAAAAACATGTTTTTAATTTCCTGTAAAGAAATAAGTATTTGGCAGTTAAGCTCAGCCCCATTGCTTCACGGCGAATGAAAAAAAATAATCACAATTGAAATAGGGCGGGTGGGCGGGCTTATAATTTTCGTTTTTGTTTTAATATGTGTAGACTTCTTTTCACAACATGAAACTTAAAACATGTTATAAATGGAAAATTTGTATAAGGAAATATCGATTTTATAATTAGACTTCGTCCCATATTTGCAAAATCCATATTTCCTTGGAAAAATGTACCATTTTAACCATGTTTTAAGTATCTTGTTTTGAAAAGATGGCTATGCATATTAAGAAAAAAAAAAAGGCAAAATGTCACCCCGCCCACCCGCCCTCTCTCAATTGTGATGATTTTTTTATTCATCGTGAGCCAAAAGGGGCGAAGTTTAACTGCAAAATCCTTATTTCTGTACGAGAAATTAAAAACATGTTTTTTAGTATCGCGTTGTCCAAAGAATACTATGTATAAAAAAAAAATAAAGCCAAAGATTAAGCCCCACCCATACGGAGCCTAATTGCAAAATCCATATTTCCCTACAAAAATTTACCATTTTATTATATGTTTATATTTTGCCTTTACTCAAAAACATGTCTTTAATTTCTTGTAAAGAAATAAGTATTTTGCAGTTAAAATTCATCCCCTTGGCTCACGGCGAATAAAAAAATCATCACAATTGAGACAGGGCGGGTGGGCGGGCTGACATTTTGTCTTTTTGCTTCAATATGTGTGCACTTCTTTTCACAACATGAAACTGAAAATTGCAAAATCCATATTTCCTTGCAAAAATGTACCATTTTAACTATGTTTTAAGTTTCTTGTTGTGAAAAGATGGCTATGTATATTAAGAAAAAAAAAAAAAAGGTAAAATATAAGCCCCGCCCACCCGCCCTATCTCAATTCTGATGATTGTGTTATTCGTTATAAGCCGAGGAGCGTTACCATTTTAAACATGTTTTACGTTTCTCGTTGTGAAAAGATGACTAAACATGTTAAGAAAAACAGGCAAAATATATGCCCCGCCCACCCGCCCTATCTCAATTGTGATGATTTTTTTATTCGTCGTGAGCCGAGGGGCGGAGCTTAATTGCAAAATTCTTATTTCTCTACAAGGAATAAAAAACATGTTTTTGAGTATCGTGTGGTTCAAAGAATACTACGTATATTAGGAAAAAAACAAGCCACAAATTAAGCCCCACCCATTTCCATTCCCAGCTATAACATCAAAACTTTAAAAGTGTGAATTGCGACATGTTTAACCATCCTGTTGTCGAAAGAAAACTCTATTTATAAAAAAAAAAACAAAAAAAAAGGCTCACCCATCCGCCCCGATCTCGATTGTGATGAAATTTTCATTCGTAATCAGACCGAAGGGGGGAGTTTAATCCTAACATCAATATTTCTCTAAAAAATTGTACCTTTTTAAAAACATATTTCATATGGTAATTTCTTGTAGAGAAATGAGGATTTTGAAACTAAACTCCGCCTTTCAGCTAACGATGAATAAAGCATTCGTCACAATTGAGACGGGGTGGGTGGGCGGGGCTTATATTTGGCCCATTTTTTCTTAATATGCGAAGCCTTCTTTTCCTGACAATAAACTGAGAATATGTTTAACTATCTTGTTGTTGAAAGAAAATTCTACATATTAAAAAAAAAAACACAAAGATTAAACCCCACCCACGCGCCCGATGTCAATTGTGGTGGATATTTCATTCGTTCTTAGACCGAGGGGCGGAGCGTAATTGCAAAATACATATTTTTCGATTGATTTGAATGAGATTGTCTTCTCAAAACAGAAGACTAAAATTATTAATTAAACCACAACCGAACAAAAAAAAATTACTAATCATTCTTTTTCGTTTCTAAAAGTGATAATTAACACTACAAAAAACATTAAAAATCGAAAAAGTAGATATTCTAAAGTGATGTCAGAACGCACAAAATTTGAATCTGAGTGAATCTATTGAAAAAAAATTAGAATTCGTAATGAAAAAACAATTTTTTAAAATACCAACAATTTTAGTTGCGATATTTTTAAAAATTATTTGTTAAAGTCGAAAAATAAAGGAAGCAGAATAAAATTTACGGAACCAATATTTATGAAACTGAACTTTTTTAATCCATTGTACTCTAGGGGCAAAGAAAATTCTGGTGACCACAGATCATATACTTAAGTATGTACGAAACATCTATGAAAGTCCTGTACAATTTATTTGAGAAAAATACCTGACCTGACCTGGCAGATAATGTACCACAAATAAAAATAAGTGGTACTTCCAAAATCTCTGTTTTTATTCTAAAATAATTCACAAGTAATAATGCGCCCGATGGAATTCGGAACGCAACCCAGAATACATTTCCAAAGGTTTCATAGATGTATTTATTTATTTATGCAAAACACTAATAACACACAGGAAACATCAAAACGCATCTGGGAGGTCAAGGGTTTTCAGACCCCTTTTAATCCATTTGTCAGGGAAGGTCACATCCGAGTGATCCCGCACCCTTTTATGATAATGAGCCCGAGCACCGTCTTGTTGAAACCATAAATTTTGTCGTATCCCAAATTAACGTTTTCGAATAGCAACGATAAATTAGTTTGAATAAATTTTAAATGAGAATTCCAGTTCAAATTGCCTCTAAAAAATAGGGATCAATATCAACTCCAATAGCAATACCTGTACCAAATGTTTGTGGGCGTAAACTGCCTGAAACTATCTCTCTCTAATCCAGCGGGGTCGTTTAGGCTGTAATAATGACAGTTGTGGTTGTTAAATACATTTTTTTCTCATATAAGTTTTCAGTCTCGAAAATGTATTTTGGGTTGCATCTTCGGCTTAGGCTCATAGTAACTTGTGAATCATCCATGAACATGATGTTTAAGGGTAAAGATTATGACCCCTAACGGTACTGGTGGTGTTTTGCCTGAATGCTGTAAACGGATCAAAAACGTAAAAACATCTTTTTGGTTGATAAAATCCTCAGAATAAGAAAACCATCAAACATAATTAAAAAAAATATATTGTGCATACTTTGCTGTTATTTGTACGAGCATCTACATTTGCCACATCACTGAATGAAATTTTTGCTTCTTCACCAACCACCATAGACCACTGTAAGTCTAAACATCTTTCATCCCAGTGATCCTGGAAGTGTTTGCTCTTCTTCGCGCCGTTTCCACTCTGTCTACTAATCTCTCCTTAGCTCCCCAGGTTTCTCCTCCTTGCTAATGGCGCTTTTGCCCAGGTGCAGACTTCGTGTCACAGTTACGCCGGCCACTTGTGCAACCCCTGCATGCAGTCCGGCAACAACGCGGACAATACAAGTTTGGAAGCTTACGATTTAGCGAGCCCATGCTGTGATCCTCACTGTGTGCCATCAAGTAGGCGACGTTCGCGCAACCACAAAGATCACCATAGAAAGAGAGATTCAAAGACTGAGGAAACGCAAACAGACCCTCAACAAACACCGCAACAACGATCTCGTCCACATTCCCAAATCACGCAAACGCCACCTTCCAATGTTCAGACGTACACGGTGCCGAGGAGATACTTCCACTTCGGTACTGGTTTAGTCAGCCAATGCAGTCTACACTCCTGTACTTCCAGCGAGCTGAGCGCCGTCGCGCCGACCACGATGGGCGAGAGCTCGGCTAGTTATACCACCTCGTTGAGCACGGACACGTTGTATTGGGACGGCTCGTGTGACATGAGTACCCCGAGACAGATGAGCGTCAAGTCGGCCAGCAGCAAGCACGAACATCAGCAGAGGTAACACGATTGTTGTGTAGAATCCAGTAAATTGAACCCGTTTTCTAGGTACACTCAGCCGCCTCATCCCCACGAGCCCGTCTACGTCCAATACAGCGCCGTCAAGCCCAAATCCTGGGACAATCTAGCGACCAAAGCCTTCGGGGGCTACGGTTTCGGCTACGGGTACTTGGACACCTCGGGCAAATGCACGAAGACGGCCAATCGTACCCAGAGCAAGAACCAGAGCACTCAGTATGTTCGCGTCGATAAGCACACTTCCACGAATTCGACGCCACAGCCCCAGTACACTCCACACACCCATCGGCGGTATTTTCAACCTACTAAATCCACGGAGAGTCTTCTCTCCGTCCCTAAGTACTCCAATGAGGCTCTGTCCGACTCTAGCGCCTCCTGCGAGTGCCTCGACGCTTCGTCTCCCGCTCCTGAGACGGTGGAAACTAGGTTCTTCCAGAGTCCCAGGCAGAGCATCAGTGTTAGCCCCACTGATCCCAATTTTGGGTACTACAGTGCGGCTAGGAGACCTTCGAAGGTCATTTCCACGAGCTCAGAAGCCACTAGGTTGTAATTATAATTCAATTAAATTTTATGCCTCTACAGTGTTTTGGGGGTTGGTTCAAGGTTCGGGGGGAGAGGGGGTTTGGATTTGGAATAGAGGTTGCAATTAAGACAACGAAAATGTTTATCGGTTTTTTATTGTCTAGGAAGGTACATTGATATCAATTTTGACTGGTAGCGGTTGCCAGGTCAAAGATGACGTAGTCAATACTCATCGTATTGGGTAGTTCTGACTAGTTGCCTAGAATTGTGGAAATCAGTTATCGTTATTAGTTAGCTGATAAGAAACAATTACCAAAGAACTAATTACTATTTGGTTACTTCAGTAGTAGAGGTTTGGACACGGACGAAAACCGGTACTCAAACCTTAAGCTACAGTACTCAGTAGAGGAACAAATCCAATTATCGTTTTGATTCATATATATTTTCTGTAAAATCTTAAAACAAGATTTATAAATTTATTTATGGGTTTACATTTTGAAATAAGTAAGGTACCTTAGTGATTTAAAGATTACAATACAGGGTGAGCTAAAAATACGAACAAAAAAGCCAATCTTTTCCACACTGAAGGCCTCAACATTTAAAAATATTTCATATATACGGGTGTTCCTAATGAAATGTCATTTCTTTTTTTGATGTGTCATAGTAAGGACACCTGTACATATGGAAATATTTTTATAAGAAAAGTTTGTGCCAGTCCTGTTTTTATATCAATGTTTTAGAAAATATCTCACCGCTGACCACCCTGTGTATTTTGGAAATGTAGAACCCTAGATACCGTAAGACCACTTGACAGCTAGTGGTACGACCACAACGTGACACCACTAATCGGGTACTTTTGAGCCCTCAGTCCCCATTTTTAAGCGCGATTTTCTAGCCCCTCGAAGTCTTGAAGGTTTCCGAAATACCTGTATATCCACCCCGAGGCCTTAAGATTTTTCTATCGATGGTTCAACCTCATCTAGATTCGTGCTTAGATAGTTTTGATATTCTCGTTTTCAAGCTCAATTTAGAGTACTTCTACTATATATCTAGCAGATCAACCATCTCAGCACCCCCTTTTTTCATTCAATAGGTCGCATTGCTTATCAATCAAAAGATACTCATAAATCGATTTAATTGAATTATAACGTTATGCTTTTTTTGCTGAAGAGGTTTATGAATGTGATATTAGTTACTTACACATACCAAAGTAATCATTTTAATTAAGGTGTGCAGGAGAGCATCCTGTGAGAGTCGATGTAGTTTTTCTAAGTTATTTGTCTTGATTTTATTTTTGTTATCGTCTTATTTTTACATGAATGAAGTTGACAATAAATTTTGTTGATTTTAGATGAGTAGGTTTTTTTACGAGGATTTATTTTATACCAAAAATATTCATATCATTTCTAGATGAATTAACGCAAAAATGTTTTCATTTGACGATTTGTCAATTTTATATAATAAACTGTTGTTTTATATCTGACTTTTTATTCCAATAACCTAGTTAAAATAGTTAAATATAGAAGAGTGGAACTTAAAATAAAACAAACGTGTGGATGACATCACACCGATATCCAAAATCACCACTAAATACAAACACAATGTGTCATTCTAATACATTGTTCGGGTTCTTAAAGCTTTGACATTGAATGTCTATTAGTAACCTGATGTGTGATTATTTGTCGGTGTGACGTCAGACATTCAGTATAAAATATACTTTCCCGTTTTGGTTGTGTTACTTAAGCGTATCACGGGTATGCTTATCAACACGTAGTCATCAATTTGTACTCGTCAGGGCTCATCGACCACATTCTTACCACTAGCAGAACTGACAATAAAATATGGACTACGCTCATCAAGGTTCGGAATGTGAACACCTCCATGTATTACTGGTTGCATACTATAGCCACTCATTGTATATTTGTAATACTAATTTTAATTACTTGTAGTATAATTGTCTAAAATTCGCTGAAAGTTATACCCTCTAGTCAATTTTTGACAGCTACTTTTTGGTTTGAGCCACGTACAACACAATTAAGACGCTTCAGAATAAGACGGCATTTAGCACTAAATATTTGTACTAGTTATTTTTCCCCTTATCATTGTCATGTTAACCACTATAATTATAGTACAAACTTGACAAGTTTAAGCAACAAGGAAAGCGCTATGTGGAAAAATGTTAAAATAAAAACAATTGAAAAAGCGTGCGTTAGTAATAAATAAGTTACAAACAGTATAGTCATGCTAAAATTTTAAGGAATTCCATTTTTTTTAGAGACAATGAAAATGGAAGTTTGCTGTTTTTCTTATCTGAAATTTATCAAAAAGTACTTTGATCCTTAATGTTGCACTATCTACTATCATCTGTCCCCATAAAAGCGATAGCGCCAAATTAAAAATATGTAAATAAATAAATAAATATTTATTAAAAAAGTACATTCCAGTAAGTATACGATACTGATTTTGTCTCGATTTATTTAGTTTCTGTAAAATCGAGCAAGAAAGCACAGCTAAGACTGAAGATTAGTGTTACATTGTACATATGTATATTAAAATTAATAAATTTAACTTGTAAAAATCTGTCCTTAAAGCTGCATGACGTTTTTTTACTGTGTTTAAATGGAAATAAGAGTGAATTTCGTGGCATATTTTCTTGCCTTTTTATCACTTTCGCGTTTTCTTATTAATGTTGTTTTCTCATCAGACATATTTTTTTCAATTAGCTGTACTAAAAATATAGATGCAGGTAAGGACAATGTGTAATATGTATTATTATATTTTAAAGTACATAACAAACATTTTTTCATCATCTAAATTAAAATTGAAATAATTTTTTGTTTTACAAAAATTAAACGATCTAGATTATTACAAGCAGAACAAGTGCTCTAAGAGTACAAAAAACTGGGTGTCCCGTTTCCGTCTGTTTGTCAGCTGTTCGTGGTTCTATTAAACACATAATTTCTGATTGGAATTTTAGGTGTATGTCAACCAAAATTTTTCTGACGATCCCCACCAACAATTTGATGACGTTATCAAAATTTTTAAAGGTAAATCCTATTTAAATTTTATGGCATAATATGGTTCTATTGTTGTGGTCCATTAATCCGATATTATGTTTCAAGTTAGATCTAGATCCAGAGAAAAAAAATTGATCGAATCCTCGCTCCTGAAGTACAATAAAACAGCTTTTTCGACAATTTATAAAGTATGAACAAAACAGTATTGTATTTTTAAATTTTCGGGAAAATGGATAAAAATAAATTAACTCATTCATAATTTTTTGGGACACTTGTATAAGCAATTTTAAAAAATATGAATGCAATGATAAATCATATTTTGCAGATTTTAGATAGGATTTATTTGGTAAATTTTGAGACGACGTCATCAATTTTTAGGAGGATAAAAAATATATTTTGACCGAAAATTTACCGTGCTTACGATAAGTTTAAGACGCCTGCAATGTTACACAATTTTGATTTTCTTTCTAAAAATCTGGATGTCGTAGGTAAAAACTCAGCACGGATTCATTACCTACACATATAGGACAATGTTATTCTATAAAATTTTGAGGTGACGTCAACACATTGTTGGTGGGGATGATTAGACACATTTTGGTTAGCGTTTTACAATCGATGCGGTAGTTTCAGACATCTGTCTAACAAAATCGACACAGACGGCAGACAGACAGACAGACGGAAATGGAAGACCTATTTTTCGTAGTCTAGGGGCCATGACACATCGAGAAAATATGAAAGTAGCAAGTCGCCCGATAGAGTGAATTACAATACTTCCGTAGCTTACGCTCGGAAACTAAAAAAAAATATTCATTTTATAATTTAACTTACCAACTACAAAACTAACTGCTCTATGCTCTAGGGATATCATAAAAATGGTAAAATTTGTTCTGTTCATCCTACGCAAAAATTTGATCTCAAAATGCTGTTAGATAAATCCTGATGTAATAAAAAAAATAAATTGATACATCCATTTTTTTGAGTCACCTGTATAAGCAAATCTAAAAAATATGAATGCAATGATAACTCACAAGTAAAAACTTATATTTTGCACATTTCGGGTAGATTTAGGAATTTAACTCGTTACTATGGAAATTTCACAAGTTTTTACAAGATTAATAGGAGCAAAATCAGTTTTATCTTAACAAGTACTAGGCCCGCCCACCCGCCCCTTATTTTCTCAGAGGATATGTCATTTGCCGAAATAAGTCTTATCTTACCAAGTACTAGCCCCGCCCACCCGCCCCCTATTTTCTAAGAGGATATGTCATTTGCCAAAATAAGACTTATTTTAGCAAGTACAAGCGCCGCCCACCTGTCCTTTATTTTCTCAGAAGGTAGTACTTGTTAGTACTTGCTAAGATAAGTCTTATTTTGGCAAATGACATATCCTTTGAGAAAATAGAGGGTGGGCGGGCGGGGCTAGTACTTGCTAAGATAAGACTGATTTTGGCAAATACCCTCTAAGAAAAGAGAGGGTGGGTGGGCGGGGCTAGTATTTGCTAAAATAAAACTGATTTTGGCAAATGACACTCCCTAAGAAAAGAGAGAGTGGGTGGGCGGGCGGGGCTAGTACTTGCTAAGATAAAACTGTTTTCGGCAAATGACATACCCTCTAAGAAAACAGAGGGTGGGTGGGCGGGGCTAGCACTTGCTATGATAAAGACTGATTTTGCCCCTATTACAGTAAAAACTTGTTAAATTTAAATGGTGTTAAATTGCAAATTTCTATAGTAACTGACTGGATGTTTATTTTTTAACAACTCAGTCTTTAATTTTTTTGAGTCACCCTGTTTAAGCAAATCTAAAAAATATGAATGCAGCATATTTTAGATATATTATTATCCGGCAAAATTTTGAGAGGGGATAAGCGAATATATTTTGATTAAAAAATTATTAAGCTTACCAAAAATTTAAAACATCTGCAAGATTTCGAAGCATTCAGTTTGGCAGATTCAAAATTAAGTTGCAAAATGTTGTTGTATAATTTTGATTTTTTTTTTTTCAAAAATCTGGACGTTTCGGGTAAAAGTCAACACGGAGTCATAAACTATATGTGTAGGACCATGTTACTTTATACAATTTAAAACCCATTTACTACGTACGATTTTGAACAATTTTCACATGAAAAAGTCATTCAGTTGGCGCTGCCTTTTTGATAGGAACGTAGCGAAAAACGTCTGTGTCTTATTAATCCATACTATTATGTATAACTGACATTTCCGCCTTGTCAATTAACACCGATTAAATTTTAAGTTTATTGTAGACATATTTCTTAACTTTACAAAAAATATCAAAGCCAACTTGATGACTTTTCAACTGAACACACGATACTAAATATATACAAACTTATTCTATCTAAACAACTTTAAACCAATTTTTTATTCATATTTTCTCGACGTGTTATGACCTCTAGAGTACGAAAAAGTGGTCTCCCGTTTCCGTCTGTCTGTCTGTATCCATTTTTATTAGAAATGCAATCTCCGAAATTGTTGTCAAATTTTGTATATATGTTACAAATATTATGTAGATGGTTAAATACTAACCAAAATTTGGTTAATCATCCCCACTAACAATTTGATGACGTCATCTCCAAAATTTATACTAAAAAGTTTTTTTAATTTTATAAAATAAGATACTCCTGTACTTGTGGTGTGTGAATTCGTATCGAATTTTCATCCAGAATTATTGGAAAAATTTAAAACTGAGTAGCAATATTTTGCAATATAACTTTGAATCTCCAAAACCGATTGCTCGGAAATCTTGTAAATATTTTAAGTTTATCGTAGGATTTGCAGAACAAATCCTATTTAAAATGTGCTAAATATGGTGAGTCTCTACTTGTGATTTATCATTGTATTAAAAGTTTTTAAATTTCTTATACAGGGTGACTCATAAAAATTAATAAATGAGTCAATTTATTTTATTGATTAAATCGGGAACGGCTCACTTCGTTTTCCCGAAAATTTGGGAATACAATACTGTTGTCATTAGTTTTACACTGCACCTATCCACATTGATATAACTTATAAGGGTTCTCATAAAAAAAAATAAAATTGGTATACTCCAATTTTATAATTTTTCGAAATTTGTTTTATTGCATTTCAGGGGCGTGGGAAGTTTTGTCGAAATAACTTTAGCGCAATTTTTTATGATTATATTTTGTTTTCTTTTTTTAAATTAAGTATTTTAAATCAAAAATATCTCCGCTAAACAACTTTTAAATTTCTGGGTTTAAAAGAATCGATAAATTTCACAGCAACAGGAGCCAATCAGATTTACAACGGCCATCTGCCGATCCTTTTTAAAACTGCGCATGCGCGCTGGTTTTCCGGGAAATTCGACTTGGAGAATTTAAACAAATTAAAATAGAAAATAAATGCACAATGCAAATAATAAAATAAAAAAATCAACTTATTTAACAAATGGGTTTTAGTGAAAAATGTGACCGAGTGGAACAAAATCGCCAAAAAACATCCAATTCGTCCCAAATTTAGTTTTAAATTTAGGTTCCAAAAAATTGGGTGTTAATATTTCTTTTTTTTTTTTCGTGAAACAAGTAGTAGTTACTCTAGATAACCTTAAATTAATTCGGAAGTGATTACCATTTTCTTCAGTTATAACAAAAAAAGTCATATCGGTTTATTGGCGGATAATTATATATATTATAGATGATTACAGATGATATGTTGACAATTATGCTGTGATAGTTGTTTGCATAATTATGTACATTTTACTTTATACACAAATCGAACACTTGTTTGTTTTCATATTAAACGCGTAGTGATATAAAAAAAATTAATCTAAGTCTTCACCAGACAAACTTTTATGACCAGAAACGATAAAGTTTAAATTTTTTTGAAATCAACCATTGCGTTAAATGAAAAAAAAACTAAATTGAAAATACCAACAGCACAGCTATTGTTGTGATTAGAGTATCTGACAAATTTTAAGTTAATTTTAATAATGTTATAAATAAATATAGGTAAGTTAATACTTCAAAGAAGACAAAGGTTATTTAAATTTTTAGAAAGATGTCAACTGAGGTTTTTCTTTAATATTAAAAAAACGGTACAACTGCGTCAGCTTTCTTGACAATTGAAAATTGAATATTTTTTAAATAATTTATTTAACAAAAAAAGTGAGATGAAAAATTCCTTGGAATTCGATAACATGTATTGGCAATATGCAAAAAATTTTCACTGTAGGGAAAACATTTTTGTGTAGATTTTTAATTGATTTATATTTTCAATTAACAAGAAGCCCTTTTGACATTGAGATTATTTTCAATTAACTTGCGCATGTGGAACCGATTAAAAACCTAACGTATAATGTACTCCCACGCCTATATAAAACAAGTCATCTCTGTATATACCTACAGATATAATGTATTTAATTGTTACATAATTTAAGTACTTAGACGTTGGAACCCAAGTTTATTTGGATTTAAAATTAGAGACAGACAAGTAAAAAACAAATAAAAAAAAAATTACGCGTGAACAATTACGTCCACGTAAAGGTCGAGATAACCCCGAGATATCAGGAAAACCATCAGCTCGGAAAAGCATGAAAGATTTTCGACCACGTATCTATAGCACATTTTCTATGTAGCCCCAACGAGAAAAAGCAATGTGGGATAGAAGTAGAAAATAAACCATCAAGAGAAGGGCGAAACTGGCGGCGTACGGAAAAAACTTTTCAAATCCACATAACTGCATCTACTAGTTGTTGTAGTGGCCCCACTGTCGTGCACTTGCCCATTCGAAAAGGCGTCAAAACCCCAACCCGCCGCCAATGACGCGATGTCCAAGAGGAACATAACCTACACGAAGCCCGAAGAACCCGAATTCCTCAAGAAAATCAAGCAGCAAGCGGGCTACAAGGAAGGCCCCACCGTCGCCACAAAAGTAGGTTATGTTATTAAGTAGTCACATTCTAAGCGCGCCTCACCGCCGCTGTACACACAGAGCGAGCAGCTGGGCCCCGCCGAGGACTTAGACTGTGACGAGGAGCAGCCCACCGTCGTGGTCTTGAACGAGGGCGACCTGACCGCGGAGGAGGCCCAACGCGAAAAAGCCAGGCTGGAAAGGGGTAAGTCGCAAGCGCCCTACCTTCTTGGCCCCCGAACGCCGGAAAAGCGCCCATTTTGCGCCAAACACCACTCCGCGGATTAATTCTCGGAAATCTAGACGGCGTCTCGGAGGTTATGTCGGGCGCCGTCGGCAGCTTTCGCGCGCTGTCGTTTGGCGCCAAAGTGAAAAAGCGCCAATTTTCCGCCTTTTAAACTGGAATGGCGGCTTGAGGTGCCGCGGGGGGCTTTCCCGGGGCGCGTCCGCGGGCTGCCGCCCCCGCTGGGGGCCCTTCGCCCGACGGGAGTTGCCCCGAGTCGCCGGAATTTCGACCCTATTTTTCCACACGTCGCCACGGAGGGACAGAGACGGATTTATGCAGCGGCGCTTTCCGGAGACAGGGACGGATTTTTTCTGAACACGTGACCGTTTTAGCTCGTAATAAGACTTTGGAAAGGATGCTACTCCCCTTTTCGTGAAAATGGTTTGGTCTATTATATGAAACGGTATTTTGCTCTGCTCCCGACCACTCGATAAAATATTGTTGCTTCACTTGTAATTTGCGCTTTTTTCTATGTCTTTGGAGAGGAATCGCCACAAACGCGGCGGCTCCTCGCTATTTTTTAAACGAATTTAAAAAAAAAAATAGAGAAACCGATCGAATCGAGAATAAACATGTACAAAAAACGAGGGTAATAACTAGAGCATTACCTCTAGTTTCTTTTACCAAAACTAATGAAAATGAGTGGCCACCTTCGAACCAGTAAATTGTCAAGTGTAATAATAATAATAAGCATCGGCAAACGACCTTTCTTTTACATTGTATGTTTTTCTTTTTCGCATTTTGCGCTGTTCGTTCTGTACATTTGACATCTGTTATTTTTATCCGTTATCTTCTTCACGTTTAGATGTTTGGTAGATGTTGAGCGACCACGTGATTTCCCTTTCTACGGTTCTAATGTGATTAATTGGCAATGTGGAACCCACTTAAAGCGAATTTGTCATAATTACGATTATCTAGTGCTTTTCTAATTGAATTAATTACGGAATGAAGATCGCGTCTTCATTAACAGTCCGAAACTCGCAGATTTGTTATTTCTGTTTCGTTACGATTTCGGCAATTTATGGTTCCCCAGTTAGCACTTGCAAAACCGTTTCAAGATTTGGAAGTCCTTGAGCTGTTTTTACAAAAATGCGATCAATAACCACGTTGTTCGTTATATTGATTTGCTGATTACTCCGTAACGCCTTTCGCCGAGAATAAATTAAAAAAATAAATAAATAAAAATGTCGAGTCGACTAGTGGCATCCATACTTATTGTAAAGAGGGTAGACAATTTTCCAGCGAGATCCTATTGATTATTATTACAACTTTTAAATATTTGATTAGTTTCATTTTTCAACCCCTTCGGGTATTAAAAGGGGAATTTTCACTTTACAAGTCACTCGTGAAAAACCCACCGATATCGCTAATTTTCACAAATTAAATCTGTGTGAGAAAGCGTTCGCCGTCATCACGTCGACTTGAATAATAAATGTTTCCTCACCTCATCGCCGGAATTTTTAACTAATGGAAAAACTAAGCTTTTAAAGTAATTTGTTCTGGAGACGATACATCATCACCCTTATTAATATTTTATCGTTTATTAAACTTAAAAATCCGGAATCATCGTGGGCTTAAAATTCGCGTTGTGTCTGTTTTCGCTCCCTCGAGACGGATTCCTACATTTTGCTCAATTATTCGGCCACATTTGTCTAGAGACTTATGAAGAACGCGACTTTAATTGCACGAGATTTTGGGTGTCGATTTCGTCTTCGTCTTCGGATTTTGGGGCGAACCCACACCTTCACGAATCAATAATTTTATCCTCAACTTTGGTGTCTAATTCTCCCCATTCGCAAGGTGTTGTCAACAATGAGTTTAATTGTGGAAGGTAAACCACGTGAAAGGAGGGATGCTAATGCGGAAAAGAACTGCAATAAGGGTAGTAATTGCGATTAGTTAACCCGTGGAGAAATTTGGGGTTATGCCAAGCGTGGTTTATTATTTAACACGATTTGTAATTATCCAGGAATAAAAATTCGAACTCGGTGTTGTTGAACCGACGTCTATATACAGGGTAAAATTAACTCGGGTTGTGTTTATGCATTTAAAAAAATAAATTCTGCCACTCAGTATGCAAATTTTGGCGAAGTGTTTAGCCGAAGAGGGTGTCAGATTTTAAATGTACATGGTGGGATTAGTTTTGTGTTCTTGCAGAGCCGCCATAATAGAGGTCGCGCCCTGTAGCTACCAAGATATCGATTTTAAAAGTTTGAAGAATTTGGCACCGAGTGCTATGCTGTTGTAAAATACTACTTGAACGCAGCTTCACATCCTCACCTTTGTAAACCTGTTTCAGGAAATACAGCGTGGATAAATGCGAAAGAAAAGTAATTAGAAAAATGTGAGTGATGTCATCAAACCTGGTAGATTACGCTGCTAACAACATTGGTTGTAAATAGAAATATGTAATTAAAATTAAGGTTTTATTGTTGACATCTTGTTTTCGGTATATTTTTAGAATTACTTAGAGTTTATTCAAAATTTAATATTTTTTGACACACTGTACATAACTCGCCAACTTTGATGAGAGTCATTGATTTTTAAAATTCACGGCGCTTCAGCGAGCAGATGAAAGGGACCGTAATTACGACGGTCACATTGTGGGCTGAAGGCACGGTTTATAGCAAGCACTACCTTTCTATAAGTTCTATTGTGTCGTTTATTAACTAATAAGAACTCATAAATAGTCGTAAAGACGTCATTTTCAACCCATTTTGTGAAGGAGCTCGAATAATAGATTAGTAAATAAATAAAAAAGATTTCGAAAGTGTGACCTTAATGATGTACAAATTTTAATGAACTGGTTAAAAAATACTAAATTTTTGAAAACGACTATTGCACGACTAAGATGGCCGCCGGTTCAGTGGTACCACTCACCCACTCAAGCGAAAACAATTGTAATATTTGTTCACACTCAAATTTAAGGTGGCAACAATGAATCGTTTAAAACAAGCACCACATTCGATCAGCGCGGATACAGGATTTCGTTCAGGGGGGGGGGGCAATTTTTGTATGATTTTACCTATCTACCAGAAATTCGTTCTAAACAAAAAAAAAAATATAAAATTTTCGCTAATATACTCTTTTTCACATAACGTGGGTGACATTTGGTTCTTTTCATTACACGTATAGTGTACAGTAGAACCTCGATAATCCTAATTCCTAATTGGGAAAAAGGTGTGTTCGGATTAACGATTTGTTCGGTTCGGCAATTTTCGCAAAAATCTGAAAGGGAATTGAATAACAACTTCATACACAACTGAAAACAAACTTCAAGAAATAAACCTAAATTTTATTAAACAAAAATTAAAGAATTCTTAAGCAACAATGGATAATAGATACATTCTAAAAAAATATTACTCCGTGACCATAAACACGCTATCTTTTTGGAATAAACACCCCGGGATCTATACCCTGAAATTTTTCAGAATTTTTAGATGAATTTTTCAAAAATGAAATTTTCCATTATGTATTCGTATTACCTCCATTACGCAAATTTCGACCCATTCTCGACGATTTTCGAAATTTAACTAAATATATTTTCTTGTAGATTTTGGACCTCAGAAGTCACTTCTGGCTTCATTTCTTCGATAACTTAAACCATTTTTCCAGAATCGTCCAGTTGAAATATCGCAATTTTTAAAAATTTCGAAAAACATGGTTTATTTTTGGAATCAGCACGTCGGGATATATATCCCTGAGTTTTTTCAGAATTTTTAGGAACATTTTTCAAAAATGAAATTTTTCTCATGCAAATTTCGACCCATTTTCGACGATTTTCGAAATTTAACCAGATACTTTCTCTTGTAGATTTTGGGTCTTCGATAACTTCATCCGTTTCTCCAGAATTAGTTAATTAATTCAGTGCTTTGAAATATCGCAATTTTTAAAAATTTCAAAATATTCCATACAACATATGTATGCAGAAAGATCTTGCGTCATTTTTGGAAGTAGATGCATGTTTTCAAGTTCAGTTCGGATTGCAGAGTTTTTGTTCGGATTAAAGAGGCATCGACTTCAAATAGCCTCTGTTCGGATTACTGGATGTTGAGACAATCGTGAGTTCGGATTATAGAGGTTGTACTGTATTTACAAAATGAAATATGATTTCAAAATTTTGAAATTGGTCAAAATAAAGTACCTCGGTCGTGTGTCAGGGGAATCCGCGCCTGCATTCGATTGGTGGATTCTGTGGCTCCAAATTTGAAATGTGGGGAAAATCAAGTCTTATTATACTTTTTATATTAATTAATTTAATTATGGGTATCTTTTGTTATTTCTTTTTAATAGTTGATTATTAAGAGCAGTTAATAGTAGTTAATTTGAAAAATATTCAACATAATCGAAAAACTATTAACAAAATATGTAATTAAAATTAATTGATAAAAACCGGATTAGTTATCACTTTGAATGTTAAATGTTAACTATGTCACGTCTGGAAATGGAACATCATAAAACTGGATTTTCGCACATTTTAAATTTGGTGCCACGAAATCCACCAATGGAATGTGTTTAAATTAAAAGATTCATTGTGTTAGAGTGTTCCAATTTTTTCACTTGATTGGTACCACTGAATCAGCGGCCATGTTAGTTGTGCAAAAGGTCCATGTCCATTGAAAAAGTCATCAAGTTGGAGTTCTTTTTTTGATAAGCGCTAATTTTATTATAGGAAAAGTGAGGTTATATATTGCGGAATGATACACCGCGTTGTCAGCTGTCATCGATTAAATTTTATGTTTATTGCACATATATTTCATAACGGCACCTTGATGACTTGTAATTGTGTACGACCCAATTTATTTCCTACAATCCTATACTAATATATATTTTTTGTAATAAAATGGAACACTTTGTAGATGATATTTTATTCAACATTAACACAAAATATCTCAATTTTTCACTTAATATTTGATTAAAAAAAAAATCACTGGGTAAATATTATTAACATTTACTCTACATAACCTTATTGTTTTGTATAATAAAATTAATGCTTTCAACTTTGTCTTCTCCAAAAAACAACACTGTCTTTAAATTTATTTTCATTGTTTTCGGCACAATCGTCTTTTTGTTTTGTAGCAATTTGATGGCTTGTAACATTCATTCTGACACCAACACACAACATACAAATTATAAGAAAATTTATAATGTTACAATGACACTAATTTTTGTACTTTGTTTATAAGTATGTTTGCGCTTCCTCGGAGATGACGCCCTCCACATCCGCCATGTGTTCGTAACAAAATAATAAAATAAAAATTCCCTCTAACACCTGCCCAACGAACAACAGATTTGATTCGACATTTCTGTGGCGGCTTTTGCGTTGTTTGACACGAAGTGATTTAAGACGCCTTATGTTGGCTAAATCTACATAACTCAGTGAAAACTTTTAATCTTACATCTACACCAATAAAATACGTAGCCCACTAAATGATGAATGAGTATGGCTAGTTGTAGCCTACGACAAACCGTGATATTTTTATATCTCGTCCATTATACGAAACATGCAAAACAACGGTAAAAGTTGTCCCAGAGCGCAAAAACGACACTTTCATGGGGAGTTCCATTCTAGAAATTATTAGATGTCAATTTGGTGATAAGGTACGTCGTGGGTACATGCGATTGGGACCGCGACGGGTTCAATGACAATGACTGATTTATCCTTCTTCTTAAATTGCCCATTCATATTATTAAAACAGTTGATGTTAATTAGATGCGATGGAAATGATGTGAAAGAACAAAGTTCACACCCCTACTTTGCGTCATGGATGGTTATGGGTCTGGGTCCTGGCGTGCAGAAAAGTGAAAGGTGGTTAAGTAAATTAATGAAAAACAATTCCACGCGCAAAATACTAACAATAATAATTATTATTGTTCGTTCGTGATTAGAAATTAACGAAAAAAAAAGTATGACTAGTGCGTGGGTAAAATTTATAAAACTTAGCCGTGATAAGGTGGATTTTTGCGTTTCGCGATTATGGGTCAAAAAGGGCACGGGAATCCTCATTTTTACTTTTAAGCACTCCAATGAAATTTTATCGGTCGTAAAAGCTGGCTTTTTTCACAGTGCGTTTTTTCGTGATCATCGAAATAATTCCAGTGCGCTAAACCTCGGCACCTCAAGCTTTAACTTTTACTTATCAAAAGAGCAATAACCTGTGGCTGAGATGCCGTCATCGGCAGAGGCCCTTTTCGGCCTAAACCTCCAAATAACTAAACACCGCTGCAATGCCTGAAATTTTTCAGAAGCCGAAGAGGCCCCGGCCGATCTAAATTCGCGAATCATCTTCAAAGCACCGACTAAGAAAAAAACCGAAGAGCAATCCGCAAAGAGGTCGGCCGATTTCGACAAGAAAGCCAAAAAAGCCAAGACCAAGCCGCTGCTGTCCTTCGCTGACGAGGAAGACGACGACTAATTTTCCTCAGACGGAAGGAAAAAATCCCCGCACTTCCGTAAGTCTGCCTATTATGGTAAAATGTTAAGTGCTGGAAAATCGATAGCGAATTTAATAGGAAAACGCGGGAAATATGCATCCGCCCTTGCGAATCTAGAGCCCGTTTTTTGTTTTCGCAAAATACGCGATCGTAGGTGACGCGATTTAATCTAGTTGTTTGTTGGGGACACCATCGACTCTATTTTTTTTTAATAGTGTGACTAAAGGGCCTAGTGATTTTGGTGGGGCGACAGTTCGGCAATTAATTTTATAATATTTATTAGAAAGCGCCGAAATGAGAGACCATCGGGTGTGCGTTAAGAAAAATTTATTAGATATGGAGTATACATGAACAAAATGAGGTTTGGGCTCAACCATTTTTAGAAAGGGGGGTGTCCGCTGTCTGCGACTTTTTCGCCGGGGCGGGGTATCTCCATCGGGTGCATTTTTCCCATGCTCGGACCCTCGAAACCACCACCCAGACCACCATGGGTGGATTTTTTTCGTAAATCGACCATCGACGGGAGCGCTCGGCGCGAAGACGCGCTCTTTCGCGCCAAATCACTGCCTCCACATTGTCGTCGGTTTAAAGCCCACAATTCCCGGAAAATGGTCGACTTTCGGGGGTTGGTAATGAAACAATTGCCGCTCTAGCGTCCCGTCATTGATGACAGTTGTGGCGCCAATTCAAACCCGGCTACTGCGATCGCGATTATTTCGAATATTCAAACAGCCGTCCCGGGGCCCCATTTCTGGGCATCCACCATCCGTGGGTTCGAATCGATACCATCCTAAATTGTTGTAAATTTGTATCAGTGCTTACGTAATGAAAAAATTTTAAGACATCGCGGAACGGATCGGCTACGTCACTATTTTCGGTCACGTGACTTACCGTTAGACGCCATATTGGCAGTTTAGTGCAGTGCTAGGGGTTAGTGACGTGAGTTTTGTTGTTCGCCAGTGTTTTCCAGTTAAAAGAAATGGACATTTATTAAAGAAGAATTACGTGTTGGCGAATTTGTGTGTCGTTTCGTGTTGTTTTCGTGTCGGCACATTTGAATATCGCGGGTTGTCAAAGGATTTTGTTCGGGTATTTACGATTGTCACACACAACATATCCATCCATTGGCGGCGGTGCAGATGGTCGGAGTGGTTTCGGTGTGATGTCCCATGGACTATGGCGGGAATCTGACCGATGAGGAGCTTCTATGGTAAAGAAACCGCCCGAAAGGGGCCCTCTTCATGCGAAATCCGCCGTCGCCGTCTAGGTTATGTGCGCTCGTCGGTGGAGCATTGGGGGGCCCCGTGAGAAATTTTCCACTCCGTAGCGTCGTTGGCAGCATTGTGTTGTTATCTTTCTATCAGTGGTGGGGTCTGAGTCGAATTCGAGTGCTTTCCAAATTTGGAATTCGCAAAAGGTTCAGCCAAAAGGGCAAAGACAAGCGTGACATGCCACATATGCCGTCGAACGGATGCATTAGAGGCGTTCAGAGTGAAAGTAGCCAAGAAGCTGCCCCCATTTCCCTTTATTGTGTCACTGCTCTTCGAACAACTACTGGGGGCTGGTTTGGCTTCGAAGCTTTCGTACAATGTGGTTTTCACAAACGACCTTATCGATTTTTCGCTGGACGAAGCGAACGTGGTGAAAACGGATGAATTCTAAAAATAGGCATTGCCATTTAGTTTCTTTTTTTTTTAGTTTTCTTTGATTGGCATTATGTAAGGTCAACACTCAACTAACACATGTTTAAATTTTATTTTAGTAATTTAGTGATTCCATGAATTTTATTTGTCAATGATGGGTGATAAAAACATGAGGAAATTCCAGAACGTGTTTAGATATGACTGAAGACGCTTGTGAGGGTGGCTGGATGTTTTTCCGTTTGTAGACTTGGAGATAATTTTATGGCTTTTTTTTTCATTACACAGATTTTTTCAGCTTCTTGTGTATATAGCGTACGTCGTTACTTGATCACGCCACTGTTCAAGATTATGTTGATGCGATTTTCACACCAGAAAGTACTTTCAAGTATTTTATGTCATTCTGTTTATCTCGTGGGGTGGGAACGGAAGTGATAAATGGTTCAGCTTTGGTTTTTCTTTTTATTTTTCACCATGTTTTGTATTCGTACGTTGTTGATAATATAACTAGGGTATTTATTTAAAGTAAAATCACCAAGACATGATTTGAGACGTTGTAATTATTAATTAATTAGAGGCACATTTTTTTATATACAACAATAGTGCTTGACTGGGTACATGATGTATGTATATATCGGGTGAGTCATTATTGTTAATACGTACCCAAACAACATGTTTAAGACTGAATCATTTTTATCCATGTAAAATGTGGTTCTTTAAATGTTACACCTATTTAGTGTACTAATTTGTGATACATTTTTCCAATTGTTTGTGTACATCTTCAATTTCTTTTAGTCTTTGATTAACGAAAAAGAAAAAAAATGGTTAAACCGAAAATTTCTGTTTTTATGTTAATTGACAGAACTCAAGGGATGTATTAGAGGAAACATGGAACTATAAAATATTTTCTCCATTTGCAATAATCACCGTCTCTATTGATATTAATCATCACTTTATCACCATTAAGATCAGTACATTTTCAAGGTTGTCGACTTTTAAGTATTTTTTAATCAGGAACATGTTCGGCTAAGATACAACAGAAAATATTAAGTGAAATTGGCAAAAAATCGATACCATATCATAAAAATCACTCTGATTACTTTGTAATGTGGCTCGAAGAACTGAGTGAGACAAGTTTTACATTTGCTTTATTTTTAAAACCAGAATCCTTATTTTCTGCATGCTGTGAAAAAATTATTATAATATAATTTTATCAGATGAGAATTTTATTTCCATAAATTAACTGAAGAGCAGAATGTCCGGTTCGAGATTTAAATGAAAGTAATCACTATTCGAATATTTTTTGATCATTTTTACCTCCTGAAAGTGAACTAAGGTAGATTGTAATCGAGTCCATTGGACGATTGGCTAGTTTTATGTTTTCTCGACGTTTCATGACTCCTGTAGTATGAAAAATGGGTCGCTCGTTTCCGTCTGTCTGTCTGGCGTCTGTTCGAATTTTTACTAGACAGATAATCTCTGAAACTACTGGACCGATTGTTTGTCAATTTTATAAAATAACATAATATATATTTTGTAATTTAACTTTGAAACTGGATCCGAATGCTCTGAAATCTTGCAAACGTTTTAAGTTTAATGTAATAATGGTAAAAAAGCCAAAATTTATTTGTTTATTTCCTTCCCAAAATTGATAACGTCATATCAAAATTTTGCCGAATAAATCCTTTCTGAAATATGCAAAATATTATATCTTTATTTAAATTATGAGAGGATCATAAAAAATAAAATTCGCAAAATCAAATCTTACAATTCTTCGACCAATTTTTTGATATCAGAATTTCCAGTTTCTCTTTTTTCTTCGATTTTACAATTTTCTGATATTACAATTTTTCGTTTTTTCAACTTTAATTTTTTCTGTCAATTTCTCGACTGTCAACTTTTTCTTGAATTTTATTTTTCATTTTCTCGATTTTATATCGCAATATTTCGTTTTTTCTTCCTTTATTTTTTCAGCGTTTCTTTCGATTTTTAAATTTTTATTTTTTTCAATTTTACAATTTTTGTATTATCCGATTTTCTTTAATTTTTTCTTTAATTGAAAATTGACGAAATCGGAATATTTCGATTTCACAATCTTTCGTTTTTGCAATTTTAAAATTTTTAAGTTTCTCAATTTTTTAATTCGAAATGTTGAAAGATCGAAATACTAAATATCAGAAAAAATTGAAAATTCAAAAAACCCAACGAGAAATTACAGAACCAAAATATGTAGTGGAAAATCGGAAAATTGCAACTTAAGGAACTAAAGAAACGAAAAATTGAAATATTAAAAACTAAAAATCGAGAAACTTAAAAATCGAAAAAAACTAATGAATCCAAAAATTGGAAAGAAAAGAAACGAATCGAATCGAAAAATTGGAAAACCCGAAAATTGTAAACTCGAAAAATTACAGAATCGTCAAAATTACAAAATCGGAAAACTATCATTAGAAAAAATGAAAAATTAAATATTCAGAAATAAAAAAAATTTAAATCAAAAAATTCAAATTCGAAAAATTGAATAAAATCTTACAATTTTTCGAAAAATATGGATTTATTTTCCTGCGACCTATTTTTTGATATCAGAATATCTCGTTTCTCTTTTTTTTTATTTTACAATTTTCTGATGTTAGAATTTTTCATTTTTTCAACTTTAATTTTTTTTGTTTTGCAATTTCTCGACTTCCAAGTTTTTGAATGTTTCGATTTGCAATTTATCGATTTTTTTATTTTTCGTTTCCCCAATTGTTCTTGATTTTTATTTTTCATTTTTCTAATTTTTTAATTTTCATTTTCTCGATTTTCTATCGCAATATTTTGTTTTATCTTCCTGCATTTTTTCAGTGTTCTTTCTTATTGAATGTTTCAATTTTCAGCCTTTGATTTTTCAATTCCTCGATTCTCCAATTTTTCAATTTTACAATTTTTGGATTTCTCAATTATCCGATATTATTTAATTTTTTTCTTTAATTGAAAATTAAAGAAATCCGAATATTGCGATTTTACAATACTTAGTTTTGCGATTTTGCAATTTTTAGATTTCTCAATTTTTAATATTTTCGTTTTTCAATTATTCATTTCTTCAATTTTCAAGTTCCTGATTTCCATTTTTTGAATCGAAAAACTAAAAAATCGGAAAAAATTGAAAATTCGAAAAACTCAACGTAAAATTACAAAATCGAAATAGTGGAAAAACGGAAAATTGCAAATCGAAGAATGGAAGAAACGAAAAATTGTAATGTAGAGTAGAAGAAATCAAAAAGTAAAAATCGAGAAATTCAAAAAAATTAAAATAAAAAAATTCAAAATCGAAAAATTAAATCAAATCTTACAATTTTTCGAAAAATATGGATTTATTTACCTTAGACCAATTTTTTTATATCAGAAATTCTCGTGTCTCTTTTTTTTTCGATTTTACAATTTTCTGGTGTTACAATTTTCCGTTTTTACAATTTTAATTTTTTCTGTTTTTCAATTTCTCGACTTCCAAGTTTTTCAGTGTTTCGATTTGCAATTTTTCGTTATTACAATTTTTCATTTTTCGATTGATCAATTTTTCGTTTCCCAAACTTTTCTTGATTTTTTATTTTTCATTTCCTAATGTTTTGATTTTCATTTTCTCGATTTTATATCGCAATATTTCGTTTTATCTTCCTTAATTTTTTCAGTGTTCTTTCTTGTTGAACGTTTCAGTTTTCAGTCTTTGATTTTTCAATTCCTCGATTTTCCAATTTTTAATTTTTTCAATTTACATTTTTTTTGATTTCTCAATTATCCGATTTTCTTGAATTTTTGCTCTAATTGAAATTGGAATATTATTTATTTTTTAATTTTTCGATTTTTAAGTTTTTCAATTTTTAATATTTCCATTTTTCAATTATTCATTTCTTGAAATTTCAAGTTCTTGATTTCCATTTTTTTAATTCGAAAAGTTGATAAAATCGAAAAATTAAAAATGGAAAACCAAAAAAATCGGAAAAAATAAATTCGAAAAACTCAACGAGAAATTACAAAATCGAACTAGTAGAAATCCGAAAATTGCAAATTGAAGAACTGAAGAAACGAAAAATTGAAACATTAGAAACTAAAAATCGAAAAAATTAATGAATCGAAAAATTGGAAAGAAAAAACGAATCGAATCGAAAAATTAGAAAACCCGAAAATTGTAAACTCGAAAAATTATAAAATTGTCAAAATTGCAAAATCGAAAAACTGTAACATTTGAAAGATCAAGTAATGAAAAATTAAATATCGAGAAATCAAAAAATTCAGAATCGAAAAATTGAATCAAATTTTACAATTTTTCAAAAAATAAGAAATAAGAAACGTAAAATTGAAACATAAATACTAAAAATTGAAAAATCTAATAAATGAAAAAGAAAATAAAGGGTGGGCGGGGCTTAGCAAGTGCATTGTGAGTGTTAGCCCCGCCCACCCACCTTTTTTTTTCCTAGAGGATATATATCATTTGCCAAAATCAGTCTATATTAGCAAGTACTAGCCCCACCCACCCGCCCTTTATGTTCTTAGAATGTATGTCATCTGCCAAAATTAGTCTTATCTTAGCAAG